AGTTTTCCCGCACAATCTGTGCAAACACAATCTGGGAATTTGTCGATGTCGGCTAAGTCGTCCCATAATTTCTTCAACTTGCCATAATATGCCATCATGCTAAGTCCCTTTTGTTTACATTCAGATATTTCACGTTTCAGTTGTTGGACGCGAGGTCCGTTCACAACCGAAAAACATGCCTTCAGTTCGTCCCATAGATCAGATGCAGACTCGCCCGTAGAGATCGTGGATCGCAACGATGGTTCAATCGTGTTGCGTATCCATGACACTATAAGCGAATGATTGGTCCACCAATCATCCAAGTCGTCTGAGTCTGGATCCGGCTGCGTTATTGATCGATCAACAAATCCAAATTTCTTGCGAGCCCGTAAGGCAAGGCGCAAGGATTTGGACCATTCGTCATAGTTTGGTCCCTTAAGAACAACCTGGGTTAAAAGCATACCCGGATTGTCGCTGGGTGAGAGATCATATGGCGATATGCGACGACGTCTTTGCACCATGTCGTCATCGTTCTCGTCCACATGATTCTTCGGTGATGCTTTCAGATCCTTTGGGGTTGCCTCGCCTGCCATGCTTGCTGTTCGCCGGAGGGAGATCGTTCCCCGTCAAAGGAAAAAAAACGAAGTAGTTCGTATGATGCTGGATGGTAACGTGCGGCTGTAGCACACGAAGGAATAGGTATTTTAGGTTTGCTCTGATACCATGTTACGTAGTAGTGTTTCTGGGCTGAAAAACTATTGTATTCTCTCTTGGTTATTTACAATACAATGGGAAGTATATATATACAGCAAGGTATTCCTAATAGGATTAGGAATTCTAAATAAAAGGAAGCTACCATATACAACTCTAATACAAATCAAAGACTAATATTCTAATATTCCTTTTCCTTTTCTAACAATATGTATGTATGTATGTATGTATGTATGTATGTATGTATGTATGTATGTATGTATGTATGTATGTATAAAGACCTTGAACATGTCCTCATTCCTCCACAACCATCATATATATACTTCCCTGGCGATCAATCACTTGCAATAATATGGCTTTCCTCGACAAACTTTTCAAGTTGATCTTTGAATTGTTTATCCTAATTGTACTAGCGGCGGCGGAATACCGGCGGGGACGCATTTCAAGAACTCGCCGTGGAGGAGCACTTTGAGCGATGGATGGTTTTTCACAAAAGGTTCTATGCAGACGAATCCGAGAGAGAAAAACGGTTCAACATTTTCAAGAGAAACAAAGAGTACGTTGAGTCTTTCAACAGAGCTGGAAATCGCACCTTCACACTTGGCATCAATGCGTTTTCCGACATGACCGACCGGGAGTTCATCGACGCCTACCTCAACGGAAACTATACCGAACCGCCGCGACTACGCCACCCCCTACGTCACCCTATGTCTCATGAGCATTCATGGAAACCATATAGTGGGCTCTTCCATAATGTGAGTTTGGACACTCTTCCCGCCGCGGTAGATTGGGTGAAGCAAGGGGCTGTCACTGGCGTGAAAGACCAAGGAGAATGTGGTAACATGCATATATTGTGGATACTATTCCCCCTAGAATTAATTTAATATTCATATTTGATTTGGTTTGATTTGATATGATTTTTAATAGGATTAAATATATTTTTAGGCGTTGTAAATTAAAATAAGCGAACTTTGTGTTTTGTTCCTGTAAAATGTTTTTTGTTAAAGGTATCCTTACAAAACAATTTAGTTTGAAAATAGTCCGTAAAATGAAACTAGCACTTCTAATTAAATGAGATAGCACATTTATTTCAGACCTAACATCTTAGTCATGTATTTCTAATTACGTATGACACAATTTCAAGGCTCTAAATTGTGTACTTATTCATTTTACATCTCTGATTTCTAAATTTCTTAGGAATATATAATATAATAAAAATTTAGGAATTGAAGATGTAATTTGATAAAAACACAATTTGGGGCATGAGAATTATGTTTAATTTGAAGTCATTAGAAATGCAAAACTAAGTTCTTTAGTACATATGAAATAATTGTGCTATGTCAAAAATTTAAAAATCTGAATTGCGTGTAAGGACTGTTTTCAAAATAAAAAATTTCAAGGGTGATTTTAACAACAAAATTTTTTTTACGAAAACCAAAAATAAAACTCGCATATTTTACTGGGAATAAAAACATAATTAAACCTTTTTAATATAGTACTTAGTAAAATTCATATTTTTGTGCTTTTTGTTGATAAAACAGAAATAATAACCTTGGTCATATAATCTTTTGATTGTGATGGTGAAAGTGTAGGCAGTTGTTGGGCGTTTTCGGCAGTAGCATCCCTGGAAGGGCTGAACAAAATCCATTCCGGGACGCTTTTGCCCTTGTCAGAGCAACAACTCGTGGACTGCGACGCTAAGTCGAACGGTTGCGTAAACGGCGACGTTGCAAGTGCATTTGCTTACGCCGTGGCGAACCACGGGCTAGCGAAGGAGGAGGACTACCCGTACACTGGCAGCCAGGGTGCGTGTTGCCAGGGCATGGGTGCGTTCGGGAGCATCGAGTTCTTCAAGAATGTCCCGGCGAACGATGCATGGGCCCTCCGCACCGCCGTGGCACGCCAGCCCGTCTCCGCCGTAGTAACTTTCGGCCCGGACTTTGTGCCCGAGCTGAAAAACTACCGCGGCGGGATTTACCACCCTGGGAAAAGTGGGTATTGCGGGGAGGGTATTTTCCACAGTTTGACTGTGGTGGGGTACCAGAGCAACCCCGGGTATTGGCTCATCAAGAATTCGTGGGGGACGTCGTGGGGCGAGGGCGGGTACTTGAGGTTGGCTAGAGACCCCAGTATAGTAGGACCTTGCGGGATTCTCAGTGCTGCCATTTATCCCCTTGTTTACCTTTTTGATTGATCAACTTGTAATTAAGTTCTCAAAATATATATGATAATGTCAATATGAAATCATATGAAGAAAGAAAAAATGTAGAAAATTAAGAAATGCAGAAAGAAAAGTTAATATTCATGTTGGAATTACAAACACATTAAAGAATAAAAAATATAGGGTAGAGTAAAAAAATTCAATCTTCGGTCCAAAAAGGTGGAATCGCCCACCCCAGGCGCCCCCACCCCCTTGCCCGACAGGAATGGTGGAGGATGTAAATCATGGTGACTCAGTCGGCCAAGAACGCTAGACCCGTGTCCACCGCGCACAAGGAGCCTCCTCACCCTTTATGGGATTTTTGGATAGCTCCCACACTGCTGCTTGCGGGATTCGATCCCTGGTCATCGGTCTAAGATTTCACGCTCTTGACCAACTGAGCTACCCATGCGGGCAAAAAAAAAAATCAATCAATCTTGGGGCACCTAAGGTGCTTGAGTAACTTGAATTGCTTCCATAAGACTGATAAAAGTTTTGGCTTTTGCTACCTTTTAAAAAGGGAATAAAAGAATTGATAACATATTAAAAAGAGAACGAAGAAGAGTGTAAAAAATAATAATGGAGAATAATTCGATCTATATTGAATTATCTTGTTGATTACAAAGAATCAATCCTCTTTATATAAGAATAGGGTAAACAAAATTAGTAAAGTTTTATTCCTACCATAATTCTATTCCTATCATTACAAGAATAGGAAAACTATCAAACAGTAAAACATATTCTTACACTTCCACTCAAGTTGAGAATGAAGATTACGAATGAACAACTTAATTTAGTTTCCTTCCAGTCTGGTATAACTTTAAATTATCTCAGACTTTCACGGGATATATATGCACAATACTAATTTTTAGTTCCCCTCCAAACTTAATTTAGTTACTTCTCTTTAATATTACTGAATGCCACCAAATAATCGTATATTCGAATATATTTATTTGTTAATTTTTAAATATGTATATGTCGGAAGTCAATATTTATTTGTTAATTTTTTACAAGAATAGGTATACCGGAGTATACCTCTGTTAAGAAAAATATTTCGTGTTTAATTTTCACAATGTTTTAGAAAGAAAGACGAGATATATATTTGAGCGACGAAAAAGGAAAAATGAATTATTTATGTCAAATTTTTATTTTAATTGGAATCAATAAAAAATATCACTCAATTTATTTATGGGCTATTTCCATCATCTCCGATGGAGCCAAAATTTCACCATTTTTTGGCTTTGGGGTGTGATGGAATAAATCAAAATGGATCTTTAAACTATCTGCGCTTCTTTAATTAATGAAGTAGCAGTTAGTCAAGCAATGCAACTTTCGACGTTGAGCCGGGGGTCTCTTTGGAAACAGTCTCTCTACTTTCAAGTAGGGGCAAGGTCTGCGTACACGCACCCTCCCCAGACCCTACTCTTGTGGGATTTAACTGGGTTGTTGTTGTTGTTTATTTATGGGCTAGTAACATGCAAATTAAAAAAATACTCCCTCCGTCCCATAAAACATTTCTCCTTTCTTTTTTTATTCGTCCCACAAAACACTTCTCATTTCTATTAAAAAGTCACTTTTACCCCTTACTTTTTCATACCCTAACTATCACATCATACCTTTTTACTAATAATCTATCCATCAAATCATACTTTTACCCATCACATCAAAGGACATTTTTGGAAATTCAATACCAAAATACACTCCCCTTAAATCCCTCCTAAAAAGTAAAAGTCTCATGTTTCATGGGACGGAGAGAGTATAAAATTACATTATCTATAAGACGTATGAGTACGTGTGAACCTAGGGGTGGGTTCGGTTTTCCCTAAAACCAAAGACGGAACGGAAATAGGGAAATAGTTCTTCTTCTTTTATATGTTTGTATACTATAAAGTCATTCTTTTTTGTATTAAAATTATCACTTTGATTCTACTCCCTCCGTCCCTAAATAAAGTTCCATTTTTGACTTTTTGAGGATTTTAGGGAGGGATATTTTGGTGTTGACTTTCCAAAAATACCCTTGATGTGATGTGTTAAAGTAAGATGTGATAGGTAGATTATTAGTAAAAAGGTATGATGTGATAGGTAGGGTATGAAAAAGTGAGGGGTAAAAGGGGTTTTTTAAGGGAAAAGAGAAGTTTATTTAGGGATAAAAAAACGAAAGAGGAACTTTATTTAGGGACGGAGGGAGTATTAATTCTTACCTTACTTATCATATCATACAACTTTACTAATCATTTATCCACCACATTCTACTTTTACTCATTACATCAATTTTTTTTTAGAAAATTAGTATAAAAATATTTCTCTCTTAAATTTGTTAAATGTTAAAATGAGAATATTTTTATGGCTCCAAATATTTAATAAATGATGCATTTTTTCTTGAGTAACATATGATGCAGTTATTATTTACTTTAAATTGGAGTTTGTCACCGGAAGGTTGACTAAAATAAGTACAGTAGTATATTTCCTTAAACAATATGCACTACTCCGTAACTCCACAAAAAACACAGTCGAACGTTTTTAATACCATTATAATCAAAATTTTAAAAAATAAGAATTACAGAATTGAAATTGATGTTAAAAAGTAAGACAGCTCCCACCCCCACCCTTTATGTAAAAATGTTTTATTTTGATTTAGTACAAAAGTTAAAATAAAATAAAAAGGCTTGTTATAATAAAGGAATAATATGAGACACAAAATATATCATTAAGTAAAAATTAATTTTTTTTGGATGGACCAAAAAAAGGAAATATAAATCCTTTCTGAGATGAAGAAATATTCTCCCCGCCCCAAAAGAATGGCACAATTGCTATTTTAATCTCTCAATAACTTTTGATTATCAACTCATTTTGGTTGGTTATTTGATAAAATAAAATATTCTTGTCACTTTTTTGTAAAACTGTTGATGTAATTATGAACAGTGTAATTTTTACTTTTTATTTCTCTAATAATTTATAAATAAAACAATTTTGAAATAAATGATATCTTGCACGCCTTTTGGAATGTTGCAAACAATTTGAAACAAAGAGAATACAATTATGATATGAAAGAAAATAGTCAAACCTATAAACAGGAAAAAGCGACAAAAATACTAGGACGTGCAATATAATGCAATTTTGAATAGGTAATAACTTAAGTTTGTTTTCAAAATTTTTAACGTATGCCCACTTAAGACAAACTCTCATTTACTTTTTTATTACATTTATTTCTCATCCAAATTAAATTTCCAAACTAATAAGCTTAGATTGTTTGCCTAAGCCAACAATGTTCATTCCTCCCTTGCCATCCCATCGCGCCACTACGTACAATGGCTCTCCTCATCAACAAACTTTCCAAAGTTTACCCTTGGATTTTTTTGCCTGATTGCACTAGCGGTGGCGGCTCCGGCGCCCCAACCTGCCGCCGCTAGCGCTGGCGGCGATGACGCATTCCAAGACCTCCCCGTGGAGGAGCACTTTGAGCGGTGGATGGTCCTTCACGAGCGGTCTTACGCAGACGAGCTCGAGAAGGATAAACGGTTCACCATTTTCAAGCAAAACAGAGAGTACGTCGAGTCATTCAATAGAGCCGGAAACCGCACCTTCACGCTCGGCATCAACGCGTTCTCCGACATGACCAACGAGGAGTTCGCCGAGGACTACCTCACCAGCTGTTCCAGAGCGGCGGAGCCGCCGTTCCGCAGCCCCGGCGGCCGCCGCGGGATGCTTGATAAAGAGCTTTCACCGGAAACATATAGTGGGGCCTTTCCTAATGTGAGTTCGGACGATCTCCCCCCGTCGATTAACTGGGTGGACCGAGGCGCCGTCACTCGCGTGAAAAGCCAAGGAGAAAAATGCGGTAAGATTCATATACTCCTTCATTCCATCCTCCAAAATCAATTATTATCCTAATTTGATTTTTGTGCTGTGTTTGGCCATAAAGTAAAAAAATAATTTAGAATAAATAAATGTTATAACAATTACTTCCTGCGCCCCTAAATAAATTATCATCTTTTTCTCTCTTCTCTCGATAACTTTTATTTGTTTATGCGATTTCATCAAATATTTGATAAAATAAAATATTCTTGTCACCTCTTGTTTTGTAGAACCTTTGACGTAGTTTTTCAATATGTACTAATTTTTATATCTTATTGATAGATCAATTTGTAAATAAAATGATTTCAAAAAGTAGGAATATTTACTCTGTAACCCGCAATTTGTAATCAAATTGTGGACAGAGGGAGTAATATTTTCTCGCTCAAATAAACTTTTTCAAAAAAGAAAAAAAACCGTGCATGCCCTAAAGATGAGTTATTGATATTTTTTTCTAATTATGATTCTATCGTACACATCATATCATACTTTATTATGACGTAAGAACAGAACTAGAAAAAATAATTCCAAAATTGTACATTTTGAGGTGTGCCCTTTTTTCCTATTTGAAAATTTTTATAAGACGAACGTAGTCGTAAAAAAAATTACTCACGAGTATTAAAGTGAACGCAATTATATTAAAATTATACATATACTAGTACTCTCCACTATACTAGGATTACTAGCTCTATCCATAAGACAATAACTATTTTAGTTTCTCGATAATTTTTGTTCACTTGTATATTGTAGTCGAGTACGTTTATCCTCCTAACCTTTGATTTATAATTAAGAGGGTGTTTGGGAGTGATTAGCTTATAGATAAAGTGATTTCTACAAAAGCTGAAAGCAAAAGTACCTCATACCTGCTTCTCCAAAACGGTGTTCCATGTACAAAATCATTTTTCACTCAAAGCAGAAGCTGACATACCAAACAGAGTAAAATCATTTTCACTCAAAGCAGAAGCTAAATTGTTAAAAGCAGGCGTACTGCCAAACACCCTCTAACATTTTAATAAGTAATTTTTGTGCCACCATCCGATGATGACACAGGTTGCTGCTAGGCATTTTCGGTGGTGGCAGCGGTGGAAGGGCTGAACAAAATCCATTACGGGGAGCTGATGGACCTTTCGGAACAACAACTCATAGACTGCGACACGGAGTAGGCTGGTTGTAACGGCGGGAGCATGACTGCCGCGTTTGAGTACGTGATGGTGAACGACGGGCTCGCAAAGGAGACGGACTACCCGTACCGGGGGGTGAAGGGGAGGTGCCGGAACGACGCGGTGGACGCTTTCGGTAGCATAAAGGGCTACAGGAGAGTCCCGGGAAACAACGAACTGGCCATGCTGGAGGTGGTGGCCCAACAGCCCGTGTCTGCCGGGGTAATCTATGGCCCGGACTACGTCCCGGAGTTCAAAAACTACAAGGGGGGGATTTACTTCCCCGGCAAGTGGGGGTACTGTGGGAGCGGGGAGTACCACGCCGTAACTGTGGTCGGGTACACGCCCGATTATTGGCTGATCAAGAATTCTTGGGGTTGGTGGTGGGGAGACGGCGGTTATATGAAGCTTTACCGAGACGGTAGTTACGGGGGAGCTTGCAACATCCTCCAATCTGCCAGTTACCCCATCCCTTACGATATCGATTGATTATGGGCCCGTCTGGACAACATTCCGTTTTTGAAAAAGTAATCTACTTGTTGGCAATGTTTAGTGTTGTTAGCGTTTTCAAAGTGAACTCTACCATTAAAGTTTTATAAAGAACGCTAACACTAAATTATTTATACCAGGAGTCTCAATTTTAAAAAGGCAAGAGAGACATAAATAGAAAACATATACAAATAAGGCATGAGAATAATACAGAATAATACAATTATATTAAATATAAATTAAAAAGAATTCTTATCGATTTCATTCACTTTATTTGTTCACCGCCCTAATCAAATTTATCAACAGAGCAAGTATTTGCCTGTATTAAAATAAGAACCTCCATTTGAGAGTTTGGTATTCACTACAAGAATGCATGTTAAAAGGAGAGAGCAATTTAGTCTCATAATGGTGTCAAAGGTGAGACAGAAAAGAGACTATTTCATCAGACTCATTTATTTTGTCTCTTTTTATTTGAGACGGAAATATTCCGTCTCTTTTAGTTTGAGACGGAAATGAGACAGCTTAAAAAAGAGACGGAATTCAGTCTCTTATTTGTATAAAGCTGGTCAAGAATGTCCATTGGAGTAATAGAGACCAAAATCTGTCTCAAAATCTAATTATTTAAAAAATAAAAATTCTATATTTGCTAGGATTAGTGACAAACATTAATGCTTTTTGAATAGAATATTTTTTACTTTATTTAAGAATAAAATAGCTTGAAATACATGTCCACTATGATCTAAAACAAACCACAAAAACAATGAATTGTTTTTGTGCATAAATTGAAATATGAAATCCATGGCAATACCTCAACAACAACATAGCCAAACATATAATGTTTCAAGATGTCCAAAAGTCTAAAAGTTCATACGGCTCATGTCCAAAAGTACTCACAGAGCCTATCATGCAATTCATGTTGGGATAAACGCACGCGGAAACAACAAAATCACAAATCAACTGCAGAAAAATAAACGATACAGGATTTAACGTGGTTCGGCCGCCAACTGCAACCTACGTCCACACGGGGCAACTAGGAGGATTTTATTATTTTTGTTGCACACAATTACAAGCACATTAGCATCTCTTAAATAAAGATTAGTTAGGTAGACAATGATTAAGCCGTAAGCTTCTAGGTAGCTTCCTGCCAATTTCCTGTTAGCTTCCACCTAGCCTTCTTGGCTTCATATTCAACAATTCAATCGACAATTAATCTCAGATACAGATTGGAAAAAACAAATTGGAAAAAACAAACGATTGGATGAAAAAATGCTAAAAGCGAGAGATGAACAGCGATTACCTTGTATTGAACTGTCCATGTTAAACTGGTGTTCTCCGCCGTGGGTACTTGATTTACAGTCTTTGATTATGCTCCACAAAGATGCAATGTCTTTCATTCCACATTGATATAATTTTTAGAAAATGCTCCCTCCGTCTTGAAAAACGTCTCAACTTTCACATTTCAACCATCTCAAAAAATATTTTATCTTTCAATTAAAATCTTTCTTTTACACCTACTAATTATTAATCAATCTATCACGTTATAACTATTCAATATTAGTCTACTCATTATATTCTATCGTACTCTACTACAGACTATAAAATACGGATAAAATTGAAAAAAAATTACACATTTTTAAATCTCATTTTTTTCTAAAGTGTAAAAGTTTTATGGAATGAAGGTAGTAATATACTACAAAATCAACAATTTCCCATAAACACATCATAAAAATTGTACATAATACATACTGACTAAATTAATTAAAGTATAAAAAGAATAAGGAGAATAGAAATTCGAAAATTTTGGATTTATTCTTAAAGATTGAGCTAGGTATTTTTAAAAACTCATTGGGGGCATATATAAATTAGACGGGGGCACAACCCAAAACTAACCCAAGCATTTTTATTTTTTTCATAAATTAGAATACATAATATGTAGTTAATGAAATTTCACTGGGGGCATATGCCCCCATGCCATAGCTATGGATCCGCCCATGCACGCGATGATCACAGAAATCTGACAATAATACTTGAAATTGTGGTGTCTCAAGATCTTTCGGTCTCACTTGCGTTTTTTGGTGTAGCGGGGTCGAGTAATTAAAACGACTTGAACATGTTGAATCGCTCTAATATTTGCACCAACATCATAGAGGTTGTTACACCCGACTCTTCTTTTACGGTGTCGGGGGTGAAGTACAAGCATGGTTACTATTTAGCTGATGGTATATCCTCTGAGTGTGCGGCTATAGCAAAAAGTTTACCATATCCCGAAGATGAAAAGAGAAAGAAATTTGCGATGTACCTAGAAGCGACAAGAAAAGATGTTGTGCAAAATTCAGCGCATGCTTTCACACCCAAAAAAAATCGAGATATATTATGTATGCTTGTATCTTGTTAAACAACATGATACTCGAAGACGAAGGGCGTGCAATATGCGAGTACGACGCAAATGAAGTTGGTAAGAATGTTGTATTGGTTGATACATTGGAACAAGAGTCAAATATGTTGGCATTACATTTAAAAAAAAATGTTGGCATTACATAACTCGGAAACGCGTCACCACCTCCGGAGCGATCTGATAGATCATATATCATGAATGAGTAATTTCTTTTTTAAATTCTAGTTTTGTGCATCATGATTATTTCTTAATTATGTTTTTCATTATTTTAATTATGTATTCGTCTTTAATTAATTTATGTCTCATTTTAATTATGTACTTTTTTCATTATTGTACTCTTTTATTTATAACAAATAAAATGCTTAATATACATTTTTAGATCTTAAAGTGTCGAATTATTATTTAATATTTAGTTTATTTATTTATCTAAATTAAAATATTAAATGTAAATGAGATGTTAATAAAGTAGTTTTTTTAAATTAAAAAAAAAGAAATAGGGATGGATGGATGATGACACGGTACCCCTGGATAAGGATAAAATGGTGATGATATGCGAAAAGGTGATGTGGCATTGAATCCATCTTGTCTCTGGCTTGGCTAAATTGAGTTTTAAAATTTATTTGTTTAATACTCCGTAATTTTCTAAGACTAACTCATTAAACTCATTCATGAATTGAAAATTATTAGATTCAATTTGGGACCCACCAGGAAGATGAACAAAAATAACTTGTCATTGCATGACATGTAGGTCAAGAGTTAATCAGTCGAACCGGTTGACCCGATCAATTATATTCCCTTCATCCTAATTTTAATTACAAATTGGAAATTACGAAATAAAATCCCATAATTTTTAAAATTGTTTTATTTACATATTGCTACATCAATAAAAAAATAAAAATTATATATTAAAAATTACGTCAAAAGTTATACTCCCTCGGTCTCTTAAAACATTTCAACTTTCAATTCTTATCTGTCCTAAAAACAAAATTTCAAAATGTAAAAAATAGACACAAATACTCTTCTTTAACTCCACTTTTCCACATCTCATCTATCACCTCTCATCTAACTTTTCATTTACTTTTTCATGCTATTAATCAGTATTCATTGATTTGAAACATCACTTTTTAAAAAAACCCTAAGGGTAATTTAGAAATTAAAAGTCAATCACCAAAAAACACATCCCTTAAATCTCCACAAAGTCAAAACCGAAAAAGTTTAAGAAACGGAGTACAAAAAAAGAGGTGTCAATGGTATTTAATATTTATAACAATCAATGAAAACGAGCAAATAAAATAAAGTTATCGAGAGAAAAGTGAAAATAAAATAAAATTTGGACGGAAGGAGTAATTAAAATTAATATTTTATATTATAATATTCGATTTTTCTAAATAATAAGGAATTTTTGTTTGTCCTTTTTTCATTCTTCCATCTAGTTTTCAATTTCATTTTGCATACTTCATCAGACTTTCTATTTTCTATTTGTATTACTATTTTATTATTATCAAAGATAAAAAATAATGAATATCTAATAAATATCAAAATAGTAAGACAATTTCATATTAAAAAAATATAAATGGTAGGTAGTGTGTTCTTATATAGTACTCTGTAATCTATATGTAACATTTTACATTTTATTTAGTTGATTTAAATGAGAAAATTAGATGCAAAATTTAATTTTAATATATTAAAGTATAATTAATAAATATTTTTAATTTTTATTGATGACAATAAGTTTTTAAGTTTTGTATTGAAAAAAAATTAGGTACAAGTATTCATATTAATTTTTTGATAAAAGAAATCTAACACAATGGAATATATTCTATTGTGCGACTTACGTTACATCTTACACCATGTTTAGTAGCGGGAGTGGAGAAGGATGTCGATCTCCTAGCACACTACTGAAGACACAAGTTTGAAACCCACAATACACCGTAAAATATAACTTCCTCCGTTCTAAAAAAGAGTTCCTACTTTGAAAAAGTGGAAAAATAAGAAAGTGTTAAGTTGTAGTTGACTTCCAATTTTTCTCTTGATATGATGATTAAAAGTAATATGTGATGAGTAGATTATTAGAAAAAAAATATGATGTGATAGGGTATGAAAAAGTAAGGGTAAAAGTGGTTTTTTAATAGAAAATGAAATTATTTTATTGGAAGTGAAAAAATGAAAGAGGAAGTGTTTTTAAAAAAGGAGAGAGTATGATTTATAATTTTTTTTACATAATGTATATATAATATTAAAACAAATTGGGTTCTCTAATATATTGGGCTCGATGCAGTAGGGGACATCAGCCCACCCCCGGACCGGCTCTGTACCATTAATTATAAAACTGATAATGAGTTAAAAAGTGTAAGAAGAAAAAAAATACTCTCTTCGTCCATGAGTATTTTGTTCGTTTTTTATTTATTTGGTCAAATTTGATAAACTTTAACTTTATATAAAAATAGTCTTATTAGATTTATTATATAATATAAGTTTTTTCTACACGATCTCAAAGGCAAAGGCATGGTGGGGCGAGATTAGGAGCTGATGTGGTGTGACGTGGCAGACATTTGCCTCACCAGTCAACACTGACAAATATGCTCTAACGAAGTTGAAAGAAAACCATATTAGTAATAATATTTGTGTGAACTTATATTTCTTACTTTCTAAAATAAATACCAATCGTATTATTATTTGGATCATTAATATCTATTTTTATATATAAACATATACTCTCTCCGTCTCTAAATAGATTACTATTTTTTTTCTCTCCTTTCAATAACTTTTGTTTGTCTACGCGATTTCATTAAGTATTTGATAAAATAGAATATTCTTGTCACCTTTTATTTTGTAGAACTTTTGACGTAGTTTTTTAATATGTAATTTTTATATCTTATTGATAGACCAATTTGTAAATAAAATGATTTCAAAAAGTAAGAAATTTTACTCTATAACCCGCAATTTTTAATCAAATTGGGGACGGAGGGAGTATTATGTTGATATTGTATTTCAAAACTATGGTTTAAAAAATATGATAGTATTACCAACTTAATAGCATAATTTAATGTATTTCTTCCAAAATTTATTATCAAAATAATAAAATATGGACTAGAACACATTTCAATGAAACATAGGTAATGTTCCGTTCAACTTATTTTTCTATTTATTACTTATTCTTATTAAAATCAAATCATATTAGATCAGACTAGACCAGATAAAATATAATCTGATTAGATCAGATCCAATCAAATGACATAAGAGCAGATCTAATCAGATCAGACTAGACCAGATTAAATCCAAACAAAATTATAATATTAATGACATTAACAATTATTATTATTATTATTATTATTATTATAATTATTACTATTGTTAGTATTACCATCACTTTTATTATTACTAGATTAATCCCCGTGCCATGCACGGCGAGAAACATATTAAATTTTTTTATAATAATGCAATTAAAATTCCCCGTGCCATGCACAACGAGAAACATATTAAAATTTTTTATAATAATGCAATTAAAATTAGTTGTTAATTTCTAAAGATATAAATTTGTTTTGCAGTACCATCAATCATTTGTTTCGCCCAAAAAATATCTTTGTAACCATTTTTACCTAATGATAGTAAGCCTAAAATTTAAAACTAAAAAAAGGAGTAATGTTAAAGTCACAAATAAAAGATTAAGAGAGTTCACAAATGTGCCAAATATGTAAAGTAATAGGTTCAAATAATGGTCTCAAATAATTAAAAAGTAAAAACTAAAACATACAAATGGTAAGCTTATGCATTTTCTTAGTGTTTTATTTGTGACTCAAATTACACAAAAAAAAACTTTTGGGCTAAACCTAAAAAACATTGAATGACACTAAGCCCAAAGCTTTAAATTATATGGAAAAAAGTCTATAAATACAAAGGAAAAAAAGTAAAGAACAGGAAGATAATGACAGAAAGAAGTGCCAGCCACAAATTGCCACGGCACACAGGTCTCCTCCCTGCAAATTTCTGAAGTCATCTTCCCCGCCATCTTCACTGACCCGAGCCCACCCGTTCAAGGGCAGCACAACGGTTTAGGTGACTGGAGGCTACGATTTTGAGACCACGACACACTTTCAATATACTTCATGAAATTCACATAGCAGAATACTCACCTTCTCATCTCCATATATAAATTGGAGAAGAGTCAGATCTTATATTCTTCCTCCAGTTTATCCTGCAATGAAAGGACAGTGCAGAGCATTTGCAAATGAAGAGAGTCAAAAACATTTTCACGTGCTTCCCTGGCCCATTAAATATTGATTGACATATTATTTTGGAGTGATGTTGGGTAAAATGGGCGGGAAACAACATATGCTATTTCATTTTCTTTTTATATATAGTAGGATAGGATTATTATTATTATTTTTACTATTACTTTTATTATTGTTATTATTATTTGTATTATTACTATAATAATTATTATTACTAATTATTATCATAAAAACAATTTTAATTTTAATCCGATCCAATCAGATAAAACTAGATCTAATCAAATTAGACCACATCATAACTTCAAAAAATTAGATAGATGAACGGAACACAGCCATACGAAAAGACATGAAATCACATCAAAACATCTAAAACGCAGGGTATTTTGGTGATTGAATTCCAAAAAAGCTAAAGCATTTCCAATCAGTGACAAAGGAAGTCGGCGACTTCCTTTGAGAAAAAAAAAAGAAATTACGTGTTCCCAATCCCTTCTCCCATTATTCCATCCTTTCTTCCCTATTTTATTTAAACCATTCAACCTCTTTTCAAATTCAACCATTAAATTACCCTACCCCTTTCCCCTTTTCACACATTCCAACCTCTTTTCAAATTCAAACACTCTCCTCCCCTTTCCAACACATTATCTTTAATTTATACCTTTTAATTTTCTTCCTTATTCAAATCATCTAAATTTTATCATAATTCACAACACAACACATCTCCACTCTACTCTCAATTGAAAGGTAAGTTTCATTACAATATGCCCTGAAACGTGCAATCTTTGACGCGATGTTCATGGACCACTCCGTAATGAGGGAGACGAGCCATATGGCGCACGGTATGTGAAATGTTGTATTTATTTTTATAAATATTACTACGCATGTTACTAAAATTCAAATTTAATATATTTTTAAATTTAATATATACTTAAGGGGGAACTAGCCTTGTATGACAGTGCTTCATTCCGTCATGTATATTTTTAAAAATATACATTTTTAAATTTAGATTTTTTAATTAACATTTTTAAAATTATAAATTAATTTTGTATTTCTTATAGGTCGTATGGACTCCGTACAATTTGGCACTCCTAGCATCCAGGATTTTCAAAAACACATGGAAGAAATCAAAAGTATAAATGAGACCGCATATGCTTGGCTTGCAAAAATTCAACCTGAGTTTTGGACGCTTAGTCATGATGGCGGTCATCGATGTGGGATACTTACTACCAACAGTTCAAAGAGCTTCAATAACATGTTGAAGGGTTGTCGGATGCTACCTGTAACTGCTATTGTCACAATGTCGTATAATAAACTCATTGATCAGTTCGAGATACGACGTAAAGCATGTTTTGCGTGGCAGAGGAAAAATTGTTTATTTACTCCTAAAATTACAAAGATTTTTCAGAAGCGCGAGAAAGATAAACAACTTTTTCAAGCTGTGCATTACGGGGGGCAAGAATATGTGGTAAGCAGAACATCGAGGTCTAATCCAGGTACCATCTATAGCTTTTTAGTGGATTTGGGAAGAAAAACATGTACTTGCGGACAGTGGAGAAGCGATGGTATTCCATGTGTGCATGTTCACGGACTGTATCATTCTTTTCATTAGTTGGCTGACGACGAAATCTCTTCAATGTATTCAGTTGAACAATATATGAGATGTTACAATGTACACATCAACCCTGTGCTTTTCCTGCAACAATCAGTTTACGGGAATTTACGTATTCCATCTCCAGTTAGGCCCGCTGAAGAAATTTCTCAGTCTGGTCGTCGACAGCGAAATCGATTCTTGGGAGAGATGGACAGAGTTGGAGTTGCAAGGCATCAAAACTGAATTCTCACATTTCATGGGAGAGATGGAGAGAGTTGCAAGTCATTAAAAATCATTTGTTCTTTTAGATTATCTTGTTAATTTCTGTTGACATTTGTTGAACAAATCTTATTTATATTATGAATGTAATTTTGTTGTTTTGATTTTTTTTTATGTCAAATTAATTATATCATCATATGAGTTCTTATTTTAATTATTTTTGAATTAAATCAATGCTAAAAGAAATTAATATAAATTAAGTTTTTATTTTGAAAGGTAAAAATTAATTTAAAATAAAAAAAATATAAAGAGTAAAAGATTAGGAAGGGAACTAGTCAACAAAAAGTAAATTCAAAGGAAGTGTGACTTCCTTTGAGAAAAAGTTCACTAAGTAAATGCGTGCCAGATTGAAAAGTTTTTTCAAAGGAAGTCAACTTCCTTTGAGCAAAATTTAACAAAAAAGGAAATTTCAAAGGAAGTCAGCGACTGTGTTTTCCCTCTGCCGAATTCAGTCCAAAAAATCTTCCTTGTCTCGGAATTTTTTCTAAAACGCACCTCTAACTGGTCTGATAATCCATAATATATTGATTTAATTAATGACATATGAAAAAACGTTAATTAAAACCAGAGGCTGGAAACAACTAAGAAAAGTCATACACAATTCATCAATTAATACCAGTAAGAAATAAAAAAGCCAGATTCAGAGGGCACTAAAAACAAACGTTCTTGGACAGGTACTTGTCCGCGAATTCCTCGTTGGTCATATCGGAGAAGCCGTTGATGCCGAGCGTGTAGGTGTGATTCCCGGCCCTGTTGAAACTCTCCACGTACTCCTTGTTCTTCTTGTAGATCTCGAACCGCTTCTCCTTCTCCGATTCGTCCTCGTACTTGCGCTCGTGGAGGACCATCCACCGCTCGAACTCCTCCTCCACCGTGAGCTCTTCCGATGCGCCGCCGTCTCCCGATGTCCAAACCGCCGCCGCCGCCAGAAGGAGTAGGAGGAGGGAGGCAAGGAGAACCGAGTTTCTGATTATAGCAGCCATGTGTGGGTGTAATTACTGGGGATGTGTTTTTAATTATTTATAGGCCAATATATAATCCTACTCCGTAATTTTGTTGCCCAATTCGTCTTGGAGTTGGAATAGATGGGTTTTAGGGTAATGGATCATGCTTTTAAATAAAGAGCCCAATTCCTTTTTCATTCATTAACCGGAGGCCCCGTTGGACAACCACTTTGGCGTTTAAGGTTTAGTTAAGACTAAATGGATAACCGAAAATTCGATTACTGTCAGCATCCGTATTCATTTATATGAAAAAATATCTGCATCTGTTAAAAACGGTTATTTCCCGTATCCGATTAAGGATATCCAATTGCTAAATGGATACGAATTTGTTATCATACATCCGAGCCATTTATAATCCGTTCTGCATTGACATCCGTTTAAATAACCGTTTATGCGTGCATTCGATCTGTTGTATATAGTTTTTCCTAATTTTTTTATTTCATACTTCGTATTTTATTTCTCTATTGATATCTCAAAGATTACATGCAAAATGTATGTGTAGGCACATAAAAATATGTGTATATATATACTGTGCATATCTTTTTATGGTATTAAGTTATCGTAGAATATCATAAACTATAAAAGAAATAAGAAAATAGTTATATCATAAAAAATTATAGTTGATTTAATAATATTTTGATTTAGTTTATTTGAAAATTAAAATATTGTTTAATCTGGTTTTTAAAATTGAAAATGGATATGGATATGTCCGATATCCGACTGATATCCGAAGGATGCAAATACTGTTTTTATTTTCATAAAGGTGTCCCAATTAAAGCCCATGTCATAATATGACATTAGGGCACTCCTCCCAATATACAATAATTAAATTTGCATCTTTTCCTTTTTTTTATTTTTTTTGTTTTCTGTGTTCTATTTTAACTAAGTGGAGTTTCTCTGTGCATGTGTTTATTGACTTATTAGTTATAAGTAATTTTTAACTTATAAGGTGCTTATGAGTCAAAAATCCATGTATATAAAATTACTTGAATGACATATAAGTCAATTGGGAATATTAATAATAGGTGAAAAATAGTTTTGTATGTAATCTGGTTAAAACAGAGAAACCAAAAAAACTCAATTAAAAAAAGTAAGACCTACTTACCAAGGAAACGTCATCTGTTGACTTATAAATTAAAAACAGCTTATAAGCTATTTTGATTTTATAAGTACAGAGAAACACCCACTAAGTATCCACATGAATATATTACGGATTAAACTAAATAAGAGAATACCTATTATAGTTGCATCAAAAAATAATATTAATACAACATTTTAAATACGGAGTAATATTTTTGCTACATTCTAAGAGATACTATTAGCTAAATGTTAAGTGATTCAGGCAATTAAAAAAGAAGGGAGTACCTCATAAGTGACAGGACAAGTATAATTATTGCCAAAAGAAAGCAAGAATCTAAGCAGTTACACTCACCAATCTTTGAGCAATTCGGCAGCTAGACTTCTGAAGCTGACCTTTTTCTTCTTTGAAGGATTTGGAGTGAGATCTATTTGAGGATTTTCATGCGTATCGACATTCATGCTGTTGTTGGGGTTCGTGTCCAAACCTGGGACCTGATTTTCACACTCAAGAGGGGCGGTCGAGCTGCTCGGTTCCTTCTCATGGCATGACAACATATTTGGTTGCAAGATTGATCGGAATGGATCATGATGAGTGTTATGGTCTAATGTTCTGCTAACATTCTTTTCTTCTCCATCGCGGCTAAAGTCCAATGACTCTTTAATTTCTTTCCCTTGTGTTAGCATCTTAGAATCATTGATACCACAGCTCAATGGGATCTCTGGACGGCTTTTGTGTATGATTTCATCGTTATGCGTGTCGAATTCACGATTTTCTTCCTTTTCGATCATGCCAAATTCATGTTTTTGTGAAATTCCCACTGAAGCATCGTCACTTTCGTTTGTTTCATTATCATTGATCTTCGCCGATTTGCTTCCGACCTTAGCTCTCCTTGGCTGTTTAACTGTGAGTTTCTGTCTAGTCGTTTCATTCACGACGATCTTGGGTTTTCTGCTCTCCTCATAATTCATGTCAAAATCACAGGTTTCTTCCTTGTCGCCCCTGCCAAATTCATGTTTTTGGGAAATTCCCACTAAAGCGTCATCACTTTCGTTTGTTTCATCATCCTTGATCTTGGCCGGTTTGCTTCCAACCTTTGCTCTGCTTGACTGTTTAACTGTGATTTTATGTCTGGTCTTCGTTTCGTTCCTGTCGATCATGGGTTTTCTGCTGTCATCAATATGCATGTCGAAATCACAGTTCTCTTCCTTGTCGCTCCCGCCAAACTCATATTTTTGGGAAATCCCAACTGAAGAATCATCGCTTTCGCTGGTTTCATTCATGTCGATCCTGGCGGGTTTGCTTCCAAACTTTGCTCTCCTTGGCTGTTTGACCGTGGCTTCCAGTCTAGTTGAGGCGGTTCTACCCCTAGGTCTCTGTTTTCTTTTGGCATCTCTCTTAGGCGGCATGCTGGTTGTGGACTCATTCAAGGATGCAATTTTTTCTTCCGGCTCATCTTCAAAGGCTGGAGCCGGTACGACATGTTTGACTGTATTGTCATCAAGTGTGGATTCGTCTTTTCTGCATGAGAGAGACAACACAGAGGTTATACAAGTCAATGCTAACTCTAGTGTTCTGAAAACAAATAGTTGGAGTCTGAGCAGGGGTCAATCTGGGAACAAGTTGTAGGCAACAAAAGAAATCCTAGTGCCCAGTTAAAGAGTAGATGATTTAGGTAGGGATTTTTTGAACAAATGTTATATTGAGGAAAGTGGTAAATTGAGTTTGAATCTAGTACTCCCTCTATCCCATAAAAAGTTCTACTTTCTACTTTTGGAAAAGTTGTTGAGGCACATATTATTTTTCTTCTCTATACCACTTTCAACTACACAATTTCACTTTTCTTAATCTTCGTACCAAATCAAACGTGGAACATTTTTGCGAGATGTAGCATATAAGTGACAAATTGAGAATCCCTTCGGGATGAGTAGGCTAAATGTGACATGAGAACCAATCACACAATAATTAAATAATTAATTAATTAAATATGGAGTAAATAAAAAAATCTGTGTCACTGGAAGGAAGAGCCATTTTAGAATTCTGGTCCATCCATCCTAGACCCAAAGAGCAAGCAGATTTAGAACATTAAACACAATTACCTCTCTTTCATGACATATGCTTCAAAATTCATGGGCTTCAAACTGTAACTATCCTCGGGCAACTTCTGGTTTCTCTCACAACAATCTTCCAACCATTGCGAACTCACAATGTGCAATTTGTTACTGCACAACAGATGTCTATCTGCTGCAGAGAAGCTGGAAAAACAAAATAATTAACTGAGAAAATGTCTTTACTCTATTTGGGCTACATTTGGAACATGGAAGATTATAGGGGAAAGAAAACAGGGGGGCGAAAATAAAAGAAACTAAAACAATAAATCAATAACTCAACTTCATATACTCCGTATTTATTTATTTATTTATTCATTTCACTTATTTAAAAGACTAAGACATCTAAATACATTAAAACTTCAAAGAATTTAATAAAATTTGGCTTTCCTTAACATTTTTAAGGTAAAAAAAAACATATGAAGGTCCAGAATAGAATCATGATCAACATAAGAGTCCACTTGTACTTGGTAAACAGCATTAAAGTATGAACTGATACCTAAGTACAATTTTCTCACCTCTTCAACAACATGTCAAAGTTCAAACACAATTCTGGAAGAGAAATGATAACCAGATGGGTAGCCTGCAAAATATTGTCAGAAAGTTTGCCACCCCACATGGTAACTTCAAGCTTCAACCTCCTCATTGCAAGCTCCAAGAAAAATTTCTGCTGTGAACCGTTTCTGGAACATATAAATGAAATATCATTCATCTATCTAGAGCAACTTAATTTAAAATAAAATCATACTCGAAAGAGAGTGCCTCTTACAAAGAGTGTGTATGAAGGAAAAAGTGGATGCAGCAATCATGAAAACGACACCATTTATCCTCTGGACAGTATTTCTTCTTATACAATTCAATAACTTTAGACTCTTCAGAATAAGAAACACTGTTAATGAGCTGTCCAAGGAAAAGAATGTTGAAGACATCATAAAATACTGGAGGACATTACTCTTATGTATGCAGCTGTTAGTAGAAGTATTTAATTATTCAAAAACAGAGCACAAAACAAAAAGGTCCAAGCTTACACCTGAAAGTTGAAATAAGGGCAAAATGATGACCGACATTTTTTCTTAATTACCTTCTCCGAGAAAACCTAGCTAAAATGATTACCTGTTTAAAATCATCCATTTTAAGGCAAATGTAGTAAGAATCAGAGAACTCGTCGACCTCTTCTTGCAACTTTTTCTTAGTTGAGTCAGAAAGGAAAATGAAGCACCTTTAGCCAAAAGAAAGATGAAGGTTAAACAATATAGGGGCATACAAAAATGAGCTAAAATGCAAAACTTTAGATGGAACGAGATAAATGCAACAAAATGGCCAAGACAAATAAACATTGATAAAGCCAACCAACTTTGGAAGTAGTGGGAGGAGCCTTTTTTGTGAACAACAATCAAAGAACCAAGAACAATGAATAACATCGCCATGAAGCTTTGCAGCCTGAAACTTGATCCCTGCAATAGAAATGTTTTCTGATAATCTCTCGCTAAGGATCACCAAAATGGACATAGATGAAAGGTGTTGTGGGAGAAACTCTGACCTCTACTTTCAGCTGCAATGCAATGAGTGACGGAGTTGTTCAAATTCATTGAGAAAGTGCCTCCATGTTCAACAATCATTTTGTGCAACAAATCCAAGGTATGTGATGATGGCACATTAGCAAAGTCTATATTTGTCAAGGATAGATTGACATTTAAAGTTTCATAATAAAGATCATGGCTGAATTAGGATAGAATGACACTCAGTAGATACTAACTACATCTCTAATACTCCTGCTGTCCCTTTAAATTCCTAATGGTTTGACTTCAAGGTGTTTAAGAAAGTTGTTGAAAAGTAAAAATTGTGTGGTTAGAATTTGTTAAGAGGAAGGAAAATTCTTGGTAGCCACATTTTCATTACCAAAATAGGAAATAAAGTATAAAATAATATTTGGAACATCCATAAACAAAAGTTTAAATAATTTTATGGGACTGGGGTGTATATGAATGCCATAGAATAAGAATTTGCTTCATATCTCATAAAATAACTAAATAACGAACTGGAAGATGAATATTACTAACTGTATGAGGAAATAGGATTTAGGACTAGAGCTCAGCAGTTCAATCATCTCAGCAACCATCACAATGTAGATATGTTAATCCTATAAGGGTGGGACTACTACCAGAGTAGCACTAAATTATGTGGCTTTCCCTGAAAGAACTCTACCCCAGAAAAAACACTTACTATAGCACTTCATATAGCAAGTTGTCTAAAACTCCACAACCAATAAAAACTCCATCCGTCCTAGAGTGTTTGTCCGGTTCTTGTTGGCACAAAGACCAAAGTGAGGTGAACAATATCCCAAATACCCCCTTTTTTGGGTATCCTTCCCTACCCCATCCATCACAGCCCAGCTCCTCCTCCTTCCTCCAGCACGCTGCAGCACAACCCACTCCAACTCCCTCCACCATTCTTCTGCCTCCTGCAGCCCATTACGTTGCCGAGCACCAGTAGATCTAGGCTAACGTGTACTTCCAAAGTTCCAATTTGAGATTTGCAGGCAAAGATGTAGAAGTAGACAAGAAAATTAGATGCCTATTAACAGCAAGTACTTCATCTTGAAGATTTTGCCAATTAATCCATCCTAGCATGAAGAATCTGTCAATTAACCAACTAACAAGCTCAAACCTAAACCCCTCAGCAAATCAATCCACACATCCCCATCCTCTTAGTCCGGTGGTTGTGGGCATCGCCGCGGTATTGCAGTAACGTCTATCGTGGAGGATGCAGTAATGGTCACGACAATGGCGGAACTGTGGATGAGAGACTGGAAAAAGGTAGGGGAAGGTTGATAGAATTATGGAGGGTATAATACTATAATAGACTTTCCATTTATGTTGTCTATTATAACACAAAAAAGAATAATGGACAAATACTGCAGGACAGATAGAGTCAACAACAAGACATCATTTTTATTGTGAAATAAAAAATGCAGATGATGGACATAAAACAAGGCCAAAAACTAGTGCACATGTAGTGGCATGCATGATAAGAAAAGAAAAATTGTATGGTCAATATTGATCTTAAGAAGAAAGAAAAAGTAAAGTGAATGTGAAATACAAACATTACCAAATATGGCATGGGATAAAAACAGTGAGACGGACAAAAAAAGTATAAAGGGAAAAAAGTTTGGGATGGAAGGAGTATGATGCAATAAAAACAAAATGCATACACGGTAAGACTTTGGATACAAAATACCGTGTTAGAAAATATTGATGTTTCACCCTTAATCTGAGAGACATCTGTTTGTATGAAATGAGAAGGAACAAGTGAAGCATTCTTCCTCTCACGGCTCTTGAGCTTGATATGCTTTCTTCCAGGACCCTTTGCCCCTCCCGAGTTTGTCCCTCTCTGAGTGGTACCATTGCTTGAATCTACCAATTCAACAAAACCTAAGACAGCAAGATAGTTTATCTTGTAAATGGACTTCAGCAAATGAAACAACAACCCAATTGTATCCCAAAATCACAAGTCACACGCCCAGGCCTATCACACACCATATACAATCTACAAATTGTTTTTTCTAGGCAAAGAGAGAAGAACCATAGAAATTGGACTAGTAGAACAAATAACATGAAATTAAACACTAACTTTGCACATCAAGACAGTCGTGCCAGGGCTTGTCATATCTAACACAGTCGATACGTGGAAATCTCAAGCTGTATGGTGCAGCAAATACCTGCAATATAACGTTCCAAATAGAATAAATCGTGATGGTTGAGAAAACATCCCATTATTTCTTAGTAGAAAAAAAAATCACAATTTGAAATATCAGGCTTCAAAATATTCCTGAGGTCAGTCACTTGAAATGAACCCATCTAGTAACTATAGTAATGACAAGAAATACTTGAATACCTCAGAACTGATTGTTCGGATGTCACTGGTGATAGAGACAATTATTGATCTGCATGTAGGTGAAGAAAAGCAATAAGGTAACAAGCTTATAGCTTTATTTTACAATAAAAACACTAAGAATGTTCCAAGAGGACTAGTGGCCAACTTTTCCGGGCTTTCCACCCAGACATCTGGTCTTTCCTTTGAGTTGTTTGTTACTTGATAGAAACTTGGTGGTGTCTGCTTTGGGAACTCATATTTCCTGTCAATAAAGTTATACAAAACTCATGTAATATGAATTTACATAAGCAAAAAAAACACATACACACACAAACAAATTACCAATTTGACATTTTTTAAAATGAACAAAATCCTTACTATGTAATGCTAATGGTGTAAACCAAGATGGCAAGAATGGAATATGAGTTCACTCTCACCACACTATCACTATTTTTTTAAAGACCCTCTATCACTATTTAAATACCTTGTTTGATATTGCATGGAGTTTCAGAAAATGATTTTGTGTGGTTGAGATTATTTTGAAAAGAAAAAAACCAATATCAACCCCACAAGTCGCTCTTTGAAGAGAAATGAGAAGATTAATTAGGGACTGATCAAAGAGGAGAGTAATAAGATTAAAGAGGGGCTGAACAAGTAATATGTAGTCTGTATAAGAAAAAAGGTTGGTGAAGCTCATTGATCAACACAGTTTCAAAAGGGAAATTAAATAAGATGCAAAGAATAGATCCACTTCATAAAAATAACTTTGATTGGAAAAGTGTATACACAACAATGGCCTGAGTGCAAGAGTATGAATAGTGTTTGATAAAACACCACCTGAAATAGGGTTTTAATCTGGTCACAACAGCATCAAGCTCTTCATCTGAGAGTCCTGTGCCCACTCTGCAGAAAGAAATGAATCTGCAAAACAGTGATACTAGAGTAATTAGTCTTGAAAATGTAAAGCATCAGAACCCTGCAACTTTACACCATTAGCATGCACAAAAATCTAAACAAGTTTCAAGTTTGAACCTGTCCAATATAATACTGTAATAAAACTAAAGTGATTTCTTTTTTCCCTCCTTTATGGCTCAACCCAACTTTAATATTCCGAAAAATACATCCACATTGCCTATAACACAGCTAATGTTTTTGTGTACCTTTTCTTTCTTAATGGAACGTTCAATCAAACTAGTTAACATTAATTGGTCAATGAACACAGTGCATGTAAAACTCAAGTAGAAGGCTAACACAAGATAGTTAAACTTAAAATCCTAGCTAAGATCGGAGGGAGTTGGGGGATCATAAACCGGATATTCAGATCTTAAGGTCCTAGAGTAGTAGCTTATATTTAAAACTTACTTTGTATTACACATGCACAACTTAAATTTAGAACAAATAGCCATAAATAATAACAATAACATGCAAATAAATGGTACTAGGCATACTATCTCGACAAACAAACACAAACGTTCTGGATAAAATTGCAAAACATTGAATAATACTCCCTCCGTCCCAATTTAAATTGTCTGTTTCGGTTTACGATGTTTGACTGAAATTATTTTCATATCATTTTATATGAAAAATGGTATAGAATTAAAAAATAAAAATTACATATTTAAAAACTAGATCAAAAGATCTACAATACTAGTGGTGACATGACTATATTATTTTATCAAATGACTAATGAAAATAGAAAAAAAAGTAAATGAAGTTTGACCCTGTGAATCATATACAGACAATTTAATTTGGGACGGAGGGAGTAATAATAAGTCATCATCGAATATTATCTTTGGTATTAAAGTCATCGTTCATGGCATCTTCATCATCATCTTGAATAAGAGTGATATATACTCCATATTTGCCAAGGAGTTATTCAAATCCTCCCTCTGTGACTCTGTCCCGCACATTCTGTCCCATTTTGATTTACGATGTTTTACTACAACAATTTTAATAGAATTTATCAACATATTGGTGTAAATTTAAAAATAAAAATTATACACTTAAACACTACATAAAGATTTTTCAAAAGAAGAGTCATCATCGAATACTATGATGATTTAGTTTGACTTGCGGATAGTTAATGAGACAAAAATAACGCAAAGAGTATATAAGAAACAATATTTGAAGGACTAAATGGATGTAGAAATTCAGGAAATAGGTGGGAAAATGATAACACTAAGTTGAAATCTACGGACACATTACTCATTTGGATAGTGGCAATGGATGTGGGTTTGGTGGTGTTTAAGGCCATAGAATAAGGATGTGTTTTAAAGGTGAAGGTGGAAGATGTTTGGGGTATTTTGTAGGTATAATCTCTAGGCAAAAAACTTCTTTATTAAGAGTTTTTGCATCTTTTCCCAAGTTCTCACCTTAGCTTTTCCTTGAAGCTTCCGTTTAGCAGCAATGCTAGCCCAACCAAGTGGAGGCATGTTTTTGAAACTTCGCCACCACCAGCTTGACCTTCTTGTCTTCGAGTACTTCTTTGAGTGTAAAGACGTGTTTAACCTTAGCTAACCATTTTAAGAACTGTTTCGGGTCATTTCTTCCTTCAAACGTGGGAATGTCCACTGAATTTGTGAACTATCCAATCTTCTTCATCAAAAGATCAAGCTCCTTCTTTAGTTTCTTTTTATCAGCTACTAGATCTTCATGGGACATGTTTTGGATGGTGTGAAATGTTTTAAAAGAGAAGATGTAGGGGAAGGTATTTTGATTGGTTTGGCCGAGATGGGTTGGGGTAGGATTAGGGCTGTTTAGTTTGGCGAGGTGGTTTGGCTTGGGGTTTCCTTTTGGCCGCAATGGTCCAAAAGAGGAAGGAAGATGTTAAAAGGAAGGAAATAAAATACTTTTGGATGTTTGGGGTTGGATTGGACGGAGTTGGGGGTTGGCCAGCAGAACCCTCGGGTCAAAACGACAGACATTTTGGCCTTTTGGGTTTTAGGAGCTTTGAATTCAAACTAAAATAGATCATAATGTTTGAATATAAGTCCTTTGGTCCTCATGGAAGTGTGGGGTGTGAGTGAGAGTTTCATGGGTTCAGGCCCGGGCATAACAGCTTGAGTCATGAATAAAATCATAATTTTCTCAATGGACTATACAACTAATCTAATTGAATTCATCCTCTATTCTATGTTGAAAAACATAATAAATTTGATGGCAAGACCATTTTTATTCATGGCAATATTTTTGTTTTTATTGTTAGATAAAGTTGAGATAGTGGCAGGCTACCTAGTCTAAGGCATACCACCTGCCAAAAAACTGCATAAAACTACTACACTCATTAGAAGAAGATGCATGATAATAATTACCGTCTTGGGTAAGTGCCTGGAGAAGGGCGCTCTGCAAGACCCACCAGAAATTGAGCTACCTAATTGTCCATAAAAACTTCAAAATAAACATGAAAGCAAATAAGATATATTATAAATAAGCGAAAATAGCCATTACCTTCCCGCCATGACGTCCAGATCCATAATAACCTCCTGCGCACATTTAAAAAAAAAGTATTGTTCTTGTATAAGGATTTAAAAATTGAAAAAGATTAAACTGGAATCAGCACACACCAATTATAAGAACATCCAAATCAGTTCCTGGCCGAACATAATCAGGTTTCATTTTTTGCCAATTTCCCTTCCTATCGCCAGGATCCCATTTTGAATTGAGGTCTTTCAATACTATCCCCTCATCCCTATCAATTGGAAAAAATAGCCATCCATTAAAAACGGAACACCCACAATTAAATTATTTTTAACAATTTATTTTCATATATCGCTAGGGTTCTTTTGACAACAAAAAATAATGTCATATTATGAAAACAAGGGTTACGGTGCTACAACAGCTCAGTTGAATCCCACAAGGGTAGGGTAGGGTCTGGGGAGAGTGTGTATACGCAGACCCTTACCCCTACTCAAAAGTTGAGAAGCTGTTTCCAAAGAGACCCCCCGGCTCAGCGTCAAAAGTTGCATTGACTGACTAACTGCTACTTCATAAAATCAGAGAAGTGCATATAGTTTAGAGATCCGTTTTTCTTTATTCCACCACACCCCAAAGCCAAACAAGGGCTACGATGCTCCAATCGAAAAAATTGATAGTTCCCCACCACCACCACCCTGGCCAATCAACGTTTTGGGCAGGGGGTTTAGGGGGAAAGGAACCATCAATTTTTCGATGGAGCATTGTATCCCTTGTTGTCATAATATGACAGCATTTGTTGTTGTCAAAAGAAGGGAGCCGTTCATATATACAGTTATATTACATGCATAATTTTGCCTAGAACTTATGTCACTGAAGTAGACCAGAATTAAAACTCTGTTATGAGGAAATGTAAGCTCCTTTCACTTACGAGCTCTTCAAAATTTAAAAATACAGAACCACGGCAGCAAATTTATATGAAGCACTAGCAAACCATCATGATGCCCTAGTATACTAAAAAGAACTAGGTTCAGGCAGGGCATGAACGAAATGAACGAAACTAGATGAGGTCAACTCAAAAAAATATGTACAGGGTGGAGAGAGGCATAGCTTGTAGGTGAAGCTTAGGGAATTTGTTTGCAGCAGAGACACTAAGCATAAGCTCACAACAAGTCTGTTTTCACTGTTGCATCACACTATTAAGAAGATATTTGGGTCCTTTCGTCAAAGAATTGAATAAAATAGTAACCTGTTTTCAGTAGTTGCTTTAAAAAACTTCACAATGTCATCAAGACTATGACCAATGAATGACCAGCATGGCTCGCCTGTATGTTCGTACAAAAAAAGACAGAAATATGTTGAAGCCCTTGATTAAGTAGTCACTAAGAATGTGTATGTGCAACTTCAACACGATATTTCTCCACGATAGAAAAATTTCTCTAGGAAAAAATACCAACCAAGTGACACTTTATTTCGGAAGCATGATACAACAACAACAACAACAACCCAATTGAATCCCACTACAGTAGGGTCTGGGGAGGGTGTGTGTACGCAGACCTTGCCCCTACTCGGAAGTAGGGAGGCTGTTTCCAAGAGACCCCCGGCTCAACCTGCACAAAATTATGGAAGAGAACACAGTATAGTACGGGTAAAGCACCAAGTACAAGCAATAGCAAAAGATTCCAAACAAACACAACACACTACAAACAACCTCTACAGCACCGAGCTCCTATCCAGCTACTCTAATCCTAGTTCTCCAAAGGTTCCTATCTAAGGCCATATCCTCAGTCAGGGTGAGAAGTCCTAAATCCTGCCTAATCACCTCCTTCCAATTCTTCCTAGGTCTACCCCTTCCCCTACTTCCCCCGATAATCGTAATCCTCTCGCATCTCCGTACAGGGGCGTTAGCATCCCGCCGTCTCACATGACCAAACCATCTCAACCTCGCTTCCCGCAACTTATCTTCCACCGGCGCCATG